TTTCCCTGAAATAGAAGTTGACATCTTGGGTATTTGGTATGGATTTGGGATTCTCATGTCATTGCTGAAAACAAAAGAGACTTTAATTTTGCAATAACTAAATTTAAGTGTAATTTAGCAAAGTACCTCATTTTAAAGTAGCTATGTTTAGTTTTTATTAAAAAAAATACGATGCAGTAATGACTGGCTGCTCTTGCCACAAAGTATTTTTATGATTGTAAAAAGTTTATTTAAATCTGTCTTGGCTGCTTTTAGCTTATTTTAGTACTTTTTTTCTTGTTTCTTTATTAATATATAGTTAATATGAACTAAATGCCTCCTTAAAGTCCTAGTTTTACTAATACTGCACTAAAGCAGTTGTTTTATTTTAATGCTAGACTGCATTTGAATTGCTATGAATGTGTTCTTTCTCCAATACTCTTTTACACAAGTATGCTGAGTCATGAAGCAGTGCTCAATGATGTCGTTTCCTCCTGTCGTTGAATGTGGCTCTTAGAGTTCCTCCATGGAAAGGTTTGCATGTAATCCACACTAAACTGCCAAATTATCAACTCTAGGGCAGTTTACTTCACCCCTTTTTTTACCTAAGAAGCTGTCATTTATGGGTCTTGTGTCACTGAAAATTAGTGGCTTCCAGTTTGGGTTCTATGCTTCAGTCGGTTTTCATTATTGTGTCTTTCGGTTTTTGAGGTTTGCATGCTATAAGTTAACAAATTTGTTTTTCTTTGGTTTCCTGCCAGCACCACCCAAAAAATGGATTGTACATTATATAAGTGTTTTTTAATTTTATTCCTTAAAGTGGAAGAGATGCACTCAGTCAAGTTTACATTATTTTGTAAATTGGTCTCCACTTTTATGAAAATATATTAAACTCCATTAATGAAACAAGCTTGTGGGCATGGAGCTGGTGAAAATACAAGCATCAGATGTGTGTGTGTCTAATATATAAAAAATATGTTTATTCTATTTTTCTTTTTCCTGCTTTTAATTACCGATCGTTTCATGCACTTTGGCTCACTCTCTGTATTATGCTGCCTGACCGGGTTTCAACCATGGTTTCAACAAGGTCCGGTGCCAACGTCATGGAGAGGGTGCTCGCTGCAGAGCCATTTGAGGAGAGCTGAGCTCCAGCGAGGGGGAGCATGAGCTGTCGCTCCTCCTCCTGTAAGCTGTTTTAATGCGTACACCAACCCCACCCCTAACCCTACCCCCAGTGACATCACTCGTAGAAGAAGTGCAAAAAAGGTGGAGCTCAAGCTTAAGCTCCCCCTCGCTGGAGCTCAGCTCTCCTCAAATGGCTCTGCAGCGAGCACCACTTGACGTCATGGGGTACTTTAATTTTTCACTACTACAACTCGTCACTTCTATTCATGTTCAAACCAAACTTAAGATCGGGCCTTTTTTCTCCTGGCAGTTTTTATGTCCTTTATTCATGTAGAGAGATTGTGTGTGTCAACTTGAAAAGTAAATATGTCTTGACATAATCCACAAAGACGTGACTTAGTAAGGCATGAAGTTATGTGCTTAAATAATTGCAGTAGTCTGTAAATCCCTTTTGTCAGGCAGTGCTGGAAATAAATATTTTTTTATATATTAGACACAAATTTGATGGCTGTATTTGCAACAGCTCCATGTCCACAACTTTTACGCATTGGGTTAAATTAGGCTGTCTTGTCTCTGTGTTCAGTCCATTACTTCCACTGTATATGTTCAGCTGAAGGAATGGAACTGTGACGTCAGATACAGCGACGTTCCTAGATGACGGCGCCTTTGTGCTAAAAACTACAGTAAACCATACCCTTTTCTTCAAAATGGATTCATTAATCGAGTTTAATATATTTTCATTAAAATGGAAACCAATTTACCAAATAATGTAAACTTGACTGTGAACTTCACTTTAAAGTCTCCATGAAAGAATACTGGATCTTTTTTTAATGGATATTTCAGGATATTAATGGATATTTTTTTACTATAAATTACTTGTTCACAATAAAGAAGAATATCTAGATACACTTTAAGAGCACACTCTTTAAAATGAATGTTTTTGATTTAGTCAACTCACTACAATTATTTTAATTAGTATCAGATAACAGCAAATAAGCTTTAAACACAAAGATATGGAAATAAAGTTTAAATTTTTCTAGTGGTGAAATCCTTTTTCAAGTGTAATTGTATAGCACTTTCACAATAATTGTTGTTTCGAAGCAGCTGTACAAAAGTAGCACATTATTGCATTACAATCTAATACGGCAAAGTTAAGGTTATTAGCTTAATTTGAGCTGGATCTTGCTGGATCCTGTTCTACGAAATGTCAGATATTTGTGTTTTGTGTTCCAGTATTTATTTTAATTCATATGGCGTTAACTGCATCAATAAAAGTCAGCCAGAAAACATAACGGAAGAGGTAACTGTGGGCTTTTCTTAAATATTAGATGGGAGTGAGTCATTTTCATTTGGCACATAATAGTGAGCTGATTGTCAGTGGTGTTAGTAAACTGAATAGTATGGTTCAAAAGATTTATGTTATGTTTGTTTGTTTTTTAATCCATGGTTGATCCGTGACGTTGTTTTGCACAAACAAATAAATGGTAACTTTTATTTCATGGTTTTGTTCTAGAAATTATTATTTACAAATTAAGCACTGCCATAACTTTATTAGTTATTAATAACTTTCAAGGGTGACACAGTGGAGCAGTAGGTAGTGCTGTCTCCTCACAGCAAGAAGGTCACTGGTACGAACCTTGACTCAGTTGGTGTTTCTGTGTGGAGTTTGCATGTTCTCCCTGCGTTCGCTTGGGTTTCCTCCGGGTGCTCCGCTTTCCCCCAGATACAGGTGAATAGGGTAGGCAAAATTGTCCGTTGTGTGTGTGTGTGTGTGTGTGTGTGTGTGTGTGTGTGTGTGTGTGTGTGTGTGTGTGTGTAGTGTGTGTGTAGTGTGTGTGTAGTGTGTGTGTAGTGTGTGTGTGTGTGTGTGTAGTGTGTGTGTAGTGTGTGTGTAGTGTGTGTGTGTGTGTGTAGTGTGTGTGTGTAGTGTGTGTGTGTAGTGTGTGTGTGTGTAGTGTGTGTGTGTGTGTGTGTGTGTAGTGTGTGTGTGTCCCAGTCCCAGAGATGGGCTGCGGCTGGAAGGGCATCTGCTGTGTAAAAATGTGCCGGATAAGTTAGCGGTTCATTGTGCTGTGGCGACCATGGATTAATAAAGGGACTAAGCTGACAAGAAAATGAATGAATAATAACTTTTAGTTATTAATTATTAATTTTCAGTGTATTATCAATGTTTCTGCACACAGTACTATGTATTTTTTTTCCTTGGGTTTATGTAACAAAATGTAAAGGTACAAATGGATTGAAACGTATAATATATCAAAGTGATAAAATATGTCTCATGTAAAAAGAAGAGAAGTAAATAAATCAATTTAAGGAATAGACGAATAAAGTATGTGGTAATGCGGTGGGAAAATAATAAGCGTGTGCTTCATCCTGCTCCATTTTCGACCATGTTGAAATGCATTTTTTGTTAATGATATTTTATGTATGATATATTTGTTCGAAAAAAAATAAATCAAATCACATTGTATTAACTCTTTATCTGTGATTACTGTATAACCTCCTGGTTGATCTTTTGTCAAACGGTTCAACATTAGTTTGGAGTGTAATTCAATCAAAGAAATTGGTCAAATTCATTTCAACCCAGCTCTCTCTCTCTCTCAACCTTTTACCGGTAGATTAGCATTTCTACATTTCAGGCATTTTCCAGCAATGCAAATGCTAAAATAAGTAATTAGTTATCTGGTGCCTGCAGACAGTGTTCTCCACAGAAACCCATTTTATCTTCCCAATCTGAAGTTTAATTTTGGAATGAGTTTCTTCTTAAGTGAACCCCCGACTGAAGCTCTAAAATTGCATCAATTCTATCATCAGTTTGCGAAATGCAATTTCTGGAATATGTAAAAAATCCCTTCCTTCTGCTTGATTCCAGAATGTTCTGGAAGTCAGATGTTGCAGACATCAGCTCCACATTAAGTTATTTACAGAATCTTGGAGGGAGATATTCAAGCTGGAATATAGTATGGCATCATTTTCCTGTCATCCTTTCCTATTAGTGCCAGTTGCAGTCCATATGTTTATAATGATTGACAGCTGGCGGTGTCGGTCACTGATTTGAAGAGGAGTGACCAAATTCTGCCTTATTTTGCGGTTCAGAAATTGCTGTCGGTTTCTAATTTGGGCTTGTGGCTTTGTTTTGTACGTCGTAGACAGCTGCGTTGTGGTATTGTGTTTTGTCTTATTGTCTTTTTTTGAAATATGGACACTGGTTTGTAAACAGAATGCGTGTTGATGTTCATCTAGAGTCTTATACAGCAGGCCTGCACATGCTTTAGCTGAGTTTACACTGCAGTCAAACCCTGTAGCTTTTCACAGAGGAGAGTAGAGAGGAGTCTTTTTTTAAATAATAATAAAGATGCTGTCATTCTGGCATGTGCTGGCACATCTATTTGTTATTGCCATCACTTCTGGAATTTGTTACTTGAGTTTTGTTTTTTTGTATGCTTCCAGGTCACTTTTTTTCATCGTCTTGTTACTGATAGGAAAATATATTTAGCACCGTGTGGTGAGCAGTAAATCAAAGCTAAATGTAAAGGGTTGAATCACTGGAATAGTTTTTAAATTGTTTTTACCACACTGCATTTTAATTGCCTGAGGTGTTTTTTTAAAGGCTTTCTCATGCACTACATATCAAAACAAGCACTAAACGCGTAAAAAAAAAAAAGAAAAAGCTCATTAAATTGATGTCTTTGTTCAAGGGAGGTCTGTAATACCTGCAGCGAGAGATCCTTTAGCGTTCTCATTTATCTTAATTCATTTGTTTTTGAACTCTAAAAGTGCAATTTGCTTGTGGGTGCTTTGTTCGTATTGTTTAAGCATAACGTATTGTGGCCATGAGAAAAATGCTATTGACAAAAACCAATGATTTCTCTAAATGTGACTTTGTTTGCCTTCAGACTCTGGTGGATTTCTTCAGTGAGAAGGACTGTCCCGTCACGGAGAGGCTGAAGATGTTCTACAGCTGCCGGGCTCCTCCTCTCTGGGATCTACAGGTGGGTTGTTTATGTGAAATTGATGGAAATGATGGAAATGAAAATGAATTTTGTGAAAAATTAGGTTGTTTTAGAAATGCTCATGGTGTTCTGAACAGTCTGCACTGTAAAAGCATTCACACAGTTGGATTATCTAAATGGGGATGTTCCATAAACCTCATGTTTTAATTACGCTGCTGTCATTTTTGGCGAAGTTGACATTTCTTCTTGTTCTTGTCAGGTTGATTCTTTTCAATCTTTGTTTCATCCCTGGCTTTTAATATTTTCATTTCTCCCATCCGTTTTCATTCTTTATTTCATACTTTTTTAGTTTTTTTTCTTCCTTTTGCTCTTTCAAACTTTTTATCCTTTTTAAAATATTTTTTTTCTTTATTTCACTTCATCACCATTATTCTTTCTTTCTTTCTTTCTTTCTTATTTTTCTTTTTTTATCCTTCTGTTTCTTTTTTATTGTACTATACATTTGTTTCTTTGTTTATTTCTTCTGTTTCATTGTTTATCTTTTTTGTTGTTTGTTTCTTTGTTTATTTTTTCTTTGTTTTCTTTATTTTATATATTTGTTTCTTACTTTGTTTTTCTTTTAACCTTCTGTTTTTTTGGTTTCTTTTTTTGTTCTATCCTTCTTTTTTATTTCTTTGTTTCTTTCTTTTATCCTTCTACTTCGTTGTTTTCTTTTATACATTTCTTGTTTCTTTCTTTCTTCTTTGTTTCTTTTATACTTCTGTTTCATTGTTCTTTCTTTTATACGTTTGTTTGTTTGTTTCTTTCTTTCTTTTCTTTTGTCCTTCAATTTTACGGTTTTATTTCTTTTGTTTTGTTTCTTTCTTTCTTTAAAAAGGAAGAAGAAGGAAAAATGAACAAAATGTAGAGCATAATGTAGTGGGTGTATTTTCAAGATTGGTACAGACGGGGGGGTTGACTGATTTTAATTAATATGAGCACATGGATGATTTGGAGACTTGAAAACATTTTGTGTTGTAACAGTGCTTTGTGCTATATGGATGAGAAGAATGTTGTTTTTACTTTTATTTCAAATGCATATTGTCTTACAAATCTTGAAAATAATTATTTATAGTTCTTTCATTCTTTTTCTTTCTTTCCTTCTTTCTTTCTTTCTTTCTTTCTTTCTTTCTTTCTTTCTTTCTTTCTTTCTTTCTTATATACATCTGTTTCATTCATCATTTTCATCATTTGTTTTTTTTCTCATCTGAATTGCCTTTCAATTGTCCTTTTGCTTTCCGCTATTTAGTCTTTTTTTCACTTTCATCATTTACTACTTTCATCTGTTCGTCTTTTCCTTTGTCCTTTTATCCCATTTTTGATGTGAGACATTTAGTCTACAAACTTGGTCAAAATACAGACAGACATGAAATTCAAAACAAGGAGGACAATCCTGTGGTTTTGCACACACAAAACATCTATAATCAGTATCACCTGTGGTGGAATAGGAACATATTCTTCTCAAGGCCAGGATAGCTTTCAGAGAATGAGAATAAACAAGCAAAACAAATTAATAAAACAAACAAATTGATGAATTGAACAATGAAAGTAAGCTGTGTAATTTATCTTGATTTGTGCATGCATAAAAAAACATATAAAGAGAGTTTTGGACTGGATTTAATCATGGCCCATTTGACCCTTGATTGAAAATGTTCACACTTTTTTTTATCATTTTAATTACTTCTCAAAGTATTCCAATGTAGGGGATAACTCTCACGTAATAAGGCCAGATTACCTGAGTTAATTGGAAATGGCAATGATTGACTCATTTGTTGGTGGCTAAATTGATTTGCTTGCATATTTTCTCTCATTACCAGACGCACAAGTGCATAGAGCTAATCACCTTAAATGAGCGTGGGTAGCTGTTATTTATTTATCTACTTCTCAGAAAGCCATTTCAGCAAACCCAACAGCTGGGTAATGCAGCCGTTGTCGTGTCAATAACAGCTTTGGCAGATAGAATACGAAGTTCATTTTCTGTACATGGGCGAGGGCATCCAGGGATACAGGCGACGAGTTCATTTTGACAGTGTTTGTCAGATGATAGAGCAACCTGTAACTGCCCATCCCTGTCTGATTGGACAATAAAGCAACTAATGAAAAGCAAACAAATGATTTCTGAAGGCAGAGATAAAGGCAAAACACTCGGCTGAGTAAGGTAAATTGACTAATAGTGATCACCACACATCTCCAGTTGATTGATTACATTAAGAATTGCAAACTTTTTATGTGTTAAAACTTTCTGAAATGTTATTTAAATACGCAAATGAGAACTTATTTAATTAATCATGTGCTAATTTGCATACATACCATGTACACAATACTGATCCACTCTATGCACGTACCCACTTCAAAATGGTGGAAGGTCTGCATCGTCCCCCTCCCTTGTCCCACTCTTCAATACCACTTTTGCATAGGGACCCAGAGAGCCAAGAATCACCACTGCTTGTACTAAAATCTGAACTTTTGATCCGGCTACATTAAAAACTCTCCTTTTTGGACACATTAGAATCAGATGTTTTTAGAGAGGAATCTCTATAATCAAAATCACAATCAATAATCATGGTTGTTATTTTGTTATTTCAGTATTTTACTGCACATAACATTTATACTAGGAACTACTGTATGTAGTTGACACCTTTGACATTGTTTTTATTAGTCTGGTAAAAATAAAACTGTGCCTCTTTAACATGTCAAATGGTGCAGCTAGCTGTCTACAGTTCATTGTTCACGATTATACATTTTGGTCAACTTTTTCTATATTATTTATAACCTTGCATGTTGATGAATCAATCTGTTAATTTGTGTATACTGGCTGGTTGCAGAAGGAATTCATTCTCTGACTCTCAGTCACTGCGCGAGTGCCGCCTCCGGACTGTGTTGCCAGATGTAAAGTTTTATATTTGATATGCATATTTATATTTCTCTCACAATCTCAGTCTAAACAATGCAATCACACCAATGCTTTACGCATTAATATTGTAACAATTTTTCAACTCAATCTCACAGCAATTCGTAACTTTTTTTTTTAGTGGCTAATTTGTACGATTTGCTCATCCCCCAATGACGGTTGGGTTTAGGGGTGGGGTTAGGTGCTACGCTTCCTTTTTAAAATTGTACAATTTCATACGTCTGAACTCGTAGGAATTCGTACAAATTAGCCACTAAACTGGCAAAACGTAAAATACTTACGTTTTCTCGTTAGATCAGGCTACCGTTTTTATTTGTGGATCATGAGGCACAAATATCATTCTCATGATAAAAATAAATGCTGCATCCCAATTCACATACTATCCATCCTAAATATTATTCAAAAATAAAATTAGTATGTCCCAAACCATAGTAGGTTGAAAAGAGTATGCCAAAGGTTCCCTTATGGTCTACTATTTCTGGTAATAATTCGAATTGTAGACCTGTCCAAACTCTTACAGCTAATATTGCTTACAATGCTGTACATTGCACGTTGGGCGTGAATTTGATTAGAACTACAAACTTGGGTTAAAAGTGTAAATAAACTACAAACAAGGCGGATACATGAGACCAACCATCAAGTGGAGAGGCTTCAGTAAAGTTGTTTGAATGACTACTCATTTATATTTAGCCAACTGGAAAATATTTAAATAACGTTTTCCTTGTTTCATCTGCAACAACAATGTGAACTTAAATCAGGATATTTGAGGAGATTTTTCTTTATGAAAGACTTTTAGGTAATTAAACATGATAGAAATGTAGTTGATGTTCCAAGATGATTGACAGGAGACAAACTAAGCAATATACCGATATGTATACAAGGAAGTAGTATGTCCTAAAGCTTGCATGCTCTTCTGTTACACACTTTTTAAGTATATATTCAGTTTCTTTACACAAAAGGTTTGTACTTTTAGGGCGTAGTACAAGTATGCGAATTGGGACTCAACAACAATTAATTGTGCAGCTCTACTTTACAATATAAATAGATATGAATAGAACTGTAAAGTTTGTTCCATTAAAACTGCTGCTGTGGAGAAAGTTATTTTAAGAAAAGAGCCACAAAATATAGATTATATTAAAAATCTACCCAAGTTGATAGTGCATTTTGTATGTTTTGGTAATAATATACTTAATAAACAGTTTATGAAAAGCCAAACATGCTAAAATCTCAAATTGACTGGTGTCTCACCTTAAACAGTTAAGTAAACAAGAAAATAATAGGTGGATTGTAACTGGCCGGTATGGATGAAGGGTTTTGAAAGTAAAGGAATGAAATGACTGAATGGAGAAAGCGAATGAGCGAGTGGGTGGAGTGAGGGATGGATAGATGAAAAGAAGGGAGGGCTGATGTGATCAGTCCTGTGGATGACATTGCTCGCGCTCTGTGTAATAACAGTGAACAGCAATAAAGCTGGAATTGAAGTCGCTTATATTGCTGGCAGGGGAATAGAACGCTGCAAAACTGCAGGCGAGAGAGAGACGAGAGCAGCATGAAGCCGGAGAAAAGTGTTTATGTGTGTGTGTCAGGGGTAAAGAGATGGCAGAGCGTTTCAGGGCATACCAGTTTTTGTTTGTTTGTTTGTTTTGCTTGATTTTGGAAACCGATTTCAGAAATTGTTGGGTTAGCTTTTAGACTTAATCGTTCTGGCATGCATAAGAGTCAGGAAAGCATTAATTGTGGCAGTTTTGTGGGAGATGAAATGAGGGAGGAATTGAAAAGATGGAGATGTTGCAGAAATGGGCCTCTCAGAGCCTCCCAAATGTTGTTTTTTTTGCAAACCCTATGCTTGAGTTTTTATTGTTTTCTCCAAATGTAATGTCCTCTCTTGGCAAGATGTGAAATGTGTATTTGTACTGCCAAAACATTTCAGACTAAAAAATATTTAAAGTTAAATTTGTATTATGATTTGCTTGCACATAGGAACAGTGATTTGTTTATCAAACACTTTTTTGATCTTTAATAAAATATTACAATATTTAAAAGAATAAGTGATCACACCATTTTATTTTCATTTGACTGCTGAACATTT